CAAATCTTCCTACTGTCATGTCCCTGCTCTCTGCAACTTCCAATTGTCCCTCAAGAAGTTCCATACCTGCTTGATGAGGAGTGGTGCACTCTTCCGCGTCTTTCTCAAGCCTTGGTGTTAGGAACGGCCACCTGCCTCTCTCTTGCATCAGACGGTATGCAATTGCTTCCAACTGTTTCTCGGCCGCAACCACGTTCTTTCTCTCGTTGTTCGGTCCGCTCGCCTTGCTGGTGGAGCTCGTGATAGTCAAATCCATGCCTCGAAACCATAGAATCGCTGTCAAGTTGTTAATTCCCGGGGGGTCATCCCCAATTTCTGGATTGAACTTTAACTGTCGAGCAAGGTTCGAGATCTCAAGCAAGAGGAGCTCGTCCAGTACCATGAGGACGTCTGCCAATTCATAAAATCCCCTCAAGGCCTGAGACACGTCAGCCCATGCCGCTGCCAGTTCTGACTTCAGGAGCCTCAAATTTGTCAGCTCCTCGCAATTAGGGGCAGCTATCAGTACCAGCCACGCGTTCCCTTCCGCTATCAGGATCAACTTGGCATACACAAACTGCGAAGCGGGTGGCATGCTCGCGTAGCCCGGGCACGTCGTAAACACCACTCTCGTCTTGGGTCCGAATCTAGAAAACACCGACTCCTGCACCTCGTTCATCGCAGCGCACAACGTTTGAATCGCCTCCCAGATCTTCTTGGGCGTTGGCGCCTCTCCCTTCAGGTGCTCCAGTAATCCTGCCGAATGCAAGTGATCTATCATTCCTGCAAACTGCAGCAACTCCGGCTCACAAGGCATTTTCGATTTGATCGCTACCACCAGGGTTAGCATCTGATTTAGCTCCGCACCAGGCAGCAAATACACCAAGGCTTCCGGCCAAAACAAATTAGGAGACGTCCCTTCAAAATCCGAGCCCGCCACGATAATCACTCTTGCCGCTCCCGGGTCTGATCGATCATATATTGCCACTGTTTTCGCCAACTGTGAGTCCCACAGGGTTTACCATATCTAAGATCATCGGCTTACCTAGAACCCTCGTTCGCGGCATCCGGGAGCCCCATGTCCCCCGGCTCAAGCAGCTTTTCCACCACTCTTAATTGTGCGGGAGTTGCCACTCTGATTCGGGCTACACTTGTTCGGTGCTTGGGAGGTTCCACCTTAAGTCCCGGACTTCCCAACTGCTTGAGTGGTTTGTAGTTTATCGGTCCCATCACCGAATTCAGCGGGATCCCGGTCAAGTCTGCTGATGCCATTGTCTTTGCTCTCGAGAAGTGTGCCTCATGGGCCTTCAACCAATCTACACAGTGTTGTCGACTCAAGTCCTCGTGTGACACATCCTTGAGCCCCAAGACCTCCGCTAACTCCTGTCTGCACTCCAGATCCTCCAGGCCCAACTCTTTTACTCTCTCCGAATATCGGGTCTTGTTTGCCTCTGCTTGTCTCCGAATATCGGGTCTTGGTCTCTCAATCTTCTTGTCGTCCACCACCACTACCGATGAAACCAGCGAACTCTGGGGCGTGGAAGACTCCGCCTCCTCAGCCTCCATCGGTGTGGACCCTGGTTGCCTAGTCCGGCTGCTCCATGAAATATCTCTCGAACCATCTCTCGCTCCCAGACGGCTGGATAGGGGTCTAGGGGCATAGAAAAGAGGGATCGGGGGTGCACCCAAGGTGAACTGGGCCATTTCTAGCAGGTCCGCTGGTTTCTAGCAGGAGCTGTGTTCCATCAGATCGGCCACATCCAGCAACCTCACGGGGAGCACGCTTCTCTGCTGAATCTGCCTGATTTCTTCATTGATATTTCGCACCTTCTCATTCATTTCCATCGCATGCTGGTCAAACATCATGTTGTATGGGACCGTACAGATGGTGAGTATTGCGGGATCAAACCAAGTCTTCAGCTCTTGAAGAATACAACTCATCTTCTCGTGCAACCTCATCGCCTTCCTTGACTCTCTTCTAGACACATCATTGGTCCCCATCATCAGAGTGACCGTGTACATCTTCACCATATCCAACATCTCCAGCGACGCCAACATCTGCGGTGTCGCAGCTTCAGAAAAACTCAAGAGCCCAACCTGCCAGTGTGACTGGATCCGCGTCAGCACCCGTATCAAGCTGTCCCCTATGATCAGGTGAACTGCACCAACGGGTATCCTGGGTTGAGTGAAATATTCAGCCCAGGCCGCGTCATAAAAACAGTCCCTCCTGGCCCGCTGCGCTGCCGGCCAGTCCATCCGGTTGTGCCTGTGGTATGCGCCATCCTTATTTTTCTTATAGCTCGCGATTGCCACGCTCCTAACTGGATGGTCCCTCCAAGTAGGAGGTCGCCCTTCTTTCACCGAATCGTCACGGGCTCTCGACTGTAACCTCTCTTGCAGAACCTTGAGACGTGATGAACCCGACCCAGCTTGGCTACTGCTTGGGATTGATTTAGGGGTATACCCTGGGAGCTTGACCTCCATCAATGGTCGCACCGATTACGCATCCAGACTGTGCACAGAGGGTAACGTTTCGGGTGGTATCGACACCTCCAGGCCCTCATTCATGTGCTCCTGGGCCGCCCGGTCTAAGTTGAACCGGCCGCTGGGCCTAGGAGCCTCATCCACCTCCATTCGCGATTCAGGTGTCGATGCTGTGGCGGCTGGCTTTCTTGTCCGTGTCCTCTTTTCTTTCTGTCTCGCGAGCTCTCGTTGTCTTCTCTGGAGCTTCTCCATCTCCGACTTTAGCTGCTCGCAGTTCGCCTCGTTCTCGTGGACCCTCTGTTCTTGCATGTACTCCTCCCTGATCATGTTGAGATCACTCCACGCCTGATATCTCTCGAGAATCGCCTGATCGCTCTCCAGGTTTGCCTGGTCCCTCTCAAGCTTCGCGCCATCCCTGTCAAGGCTCGCCTTGTCCTTCTCCCTTTGTGCCCTCTCTATTTCCCTCATCAGGCTGCTGAGGTCCGGGAATGCCTCCTCTGTCTGTTGAAACCGTATCATGGACGACGGCCTGCTCGTGGATTGGGCCGCGAGCCCTGCTGGCGGTCTGGCGGGGAGTGGAAATTCTCCCGCACCATATTCTCTGTTGTTACTCAAGTCAGGATTCCTCGCCAAGTTGAACCCCCTCACGCCTCCATCCACATTCCAGGACAACCATCTGATCTGTTCTTGATTGGATATCCCTTCCGTCGTGTAGCCAACCATTAAAACAGCTTCTGTCGCTGATTCCCTGCATTCACCCTGCGCCTCTAACTGTAGGATGGCGTTCAACATCACCGCCATCCTCTCATCGACTTGGGTGTAGTCCAGATCCCTCAAGCGTTTGTACAGTTCATCGAGCGTAGGTCTCTTGAGCGCTGCAGGCATAGATTTCCAAAAGCGAACTGCCATTGTCACAATCTTTAGATGATCTCACGTGTCACTCAACTCGAGAATTACCTTGTCAACCAACTCGAGAATTACCTTGTGAACCAACTTGAGAATTACCTCACCAACCAACTTGAGAATTGAGAAATGTTTCCCTTCAAACGCTGCTGATCGTGAACTCGTTCAAGATCTTCTTTTTCTTTTCAAATGAGTGCGGCTAGGTCGTTAACTCAATTTTGCAAATCAATCTGAACATAAAATGCAGTTTTTTGACCGAGATATCCTGTGCCTAACCTAATCGCCCCCATCATTGTGTTTGAAACATTATCCCATTAATTATTTACTAAAATAATTCAATTAGAGATTTTTAAGAGCATGCAGATTCATTTCATGTTTTAGCACCATTAATTCTTTAAGATTTAATTGTCATGCCAATTACATTAAAATCCGTCTACCTGACTGGCGCCCCTGTGAACCTAACTCGAGATCCCCATGTACCTAACTGGAGACCTCCATTGTCCGCCCGTTACTCAGGCGATACTCAAGTAGTATTTCTTGTGTAGGTGTACCATTATCTCCGTTTCTGCGAAGACCACGCGTAGGATGGCGTATAACTCCCTTGGGCTCAACTTGCCCCTACTTGGGCCATAAACCGGCATCGAGACCTCTATTATCCTTCTCTCGACCATGAAGTCTCTCAGCCTCGTTAGTGCCAACATCACGTGCTCAGGATCTACCGTGTTTCTTCTCATTGGTCCTCGTTACCAGAAAGCACAGGTACTTACACGGGACTTATGAAACTGATGGGGGAAGCGCAGCCATTCCTCCCAGCCGCGGTCTCTGTGTAAATAGAAACTCCACGTTCTGATATTCTCTCTTGAAGTCGGCCTCTAGTCTCGATTTGAAGCTCATGTCCGCCATTATACAGATCGCGCTAGTCCTGTCTGACAAAATGAAGTCGCTGTCCGTTATCAGGATGTTCTCCGAGTATTCATTGGGTATCTCAAATTTTGTTTTGAAGTTTCGTCCTATGGTAGGCTCGGCCTCTTCCTCATCCAGTTGCAGCCCGCTGGTCTCTCTCACTTCTCTGATTTTCTTTATCATCAAATTTTTGGTGTGGGTAAGTCCTACCCCCAGTCTCCGGTCAAAAATATTTAGCGACGTCCCCGTCGATGATGCTGGTTCTAAATTATCTGGCGGTATCTCGAGCGGCCTGTCGGTTGCTTTCCAACCGAGTAGACGATATTTCGTTTTCACGTGTTTTTCTGTTGACACGTCGACCTGCTGGACGCTTTGATCTCCATCTCCTCCGCTCTTGACATCGCACATCCACTCTAGTATTCTCAAGTTTGTGTTTTCTCTCCTTTCTATCTCGCTCTGCTCGAGATCTGTTTCTTGTTCTGGCGTGGAGTAGTCTTCCTGTGGGTCATATTCGCTGTCGTTGATGATTAGCCATTCATCATCGGCCACCAATTCACCCACACTCAGTGACTCTTCGCTTAATTCTTCAGGCTGTATCTTGTCAATCAAGAAGTCATCCCCGAACCTATTGTACCTCATGCCTGTCCGTTTGCGATTGCCACTCCTGGTTCCTGCTGTTATCGGCAAGTCTGGTTCCGTCCACTTTAGCAGCTCGTCCTGCTCCGGGTCATTCAGTCTTCTTCCGCAAATGATTCCGCATCTGAGCCTGCTTCTATCTTTTTATTATTGTCCCTGCTCACGTCCTCGCTGGTGCCTTTTTCGTTCACTTCGCATGCTGGCTCTACCAATAGGTACTCTAGTCCCTCCATATTTTGCGGTACGCACCAGTCCTCCGGAGATGGTACATGAGGCTTCGGATTTTCATAATGCGCTGCCCGCCCCGTACTCAAGCGGTAGAACCGTCCCTGCTGGTGTACTTCCATGGCCATGAACGGTCCTCGCCACTTATTGAGTAGTTTTTTCGTCCCCTTGGGCGGTATAACATTCTGGAACACCCAGACGTATTTTCCCACTGCATACGTATTAGCTTGAAGTATCTTCTCATCATATTTCTTCCGCTGCCTCATTTGTGCTTGCGCCGTGTTCCTTCTGCAGAGCTCGTTTAGTTCCTGTTGTCTCTTGACCGCTTCCTTCACATAAGCTTGAGGCGACGGTTTTTTCCCTTCGTATTCTGGGTAAAAGAACGTTAGGGGCATTGCTCTCTCCCTGACGTTAACATCATGAAGGGACTGATTCCTGTTGTCGAATGTTGCGTGCTGTTGTACGCCCCCGACCACTTGCGGCAGATATTTATCCCAGTCTGTCATGTATCTCGAGCAATATACCCTCAGCATGTTCACCAACGTTCTGTTCTGTCTCTCCACTAACCCGTTAGTCTGAGTATGGTAAGTCGTTGATTGCGCTTGAGCAATGTGTGACCTCTTCATCAATTCTTTTGTCAGGTCACCCACGAAGGATTTCCCGTTGTCCGACTGAAATGTCATCGGACAACCATATCGTGATATCCAACGTGTAATCAAGTGGTCACAAATCTCCTCCGCTGAGGCTGTTTGACAGGGCACCGCTTCCGCCAACTTCGTAAAGTGGTCTATTATGACCAGTATCTGGTTATACCCCGACTCTGTCATGCAGACCTTCTGATGGTCTATCTGCACAACCTCGTTGAATTCCGAGCTGTCATTGGACTTGAGTGGGAACTTCATCTTCGTGGGTCTTTCACCTGTAGACATGCCAGACATGCGTTCACCCATCTCTCGCAGGCCTTTATTAATCCTGGCCAGTCAAACCTGTGTATTATTCTCTGTTGCACCTTGTCTATCCCTTGATGCCCCATTTGATCGTGCGATCTGAATAACACCTCCGTCTGGTACAACTGTGGTAGTATGATGAAGTTATGCTTATGTAGTATCCTCTCCTCATACTTTCTCCTGCATGGTACCACCCCATCAGCTGTGTGATAGAGCAAATCTTTGCTCTCTTTGTAGAACTGGCTCAAGATCTTGTAGCTGTCTTCTTTCAGGTCTCCTTTCTCTTTGGCTCCCGTCCGGATCCATTTGGAGAGGTTGCTTGTCATCTTGTCATTCTTTTGGGCTCTTATCAGATCTGACAGCCTATATCTCGCCTTGACGTGTTCCTTCAGTGCCATTATTTGACTATTCATTTCTCCGGGACTGTGGATGTCATCTTTCAGTTTGACGCAAACTATCCTCCTCAAGATCTTCCTGTCATCTTCTGGCACCAGGTTTGTTCTAACATTCGGGTTGCATGATAACTCCCTGAATGATTTCCTTGATACTGCAACTTTCTCAAGTTCTTCACCTCCGCGCACCTCCTGCGGATCCAAATTGTACGTTCCTGAGGAGGGATCCGTCTGTAGTTCCCTGTCGCGGTGCCTCATCTTCTCTTCTGCCAATATGATGCATAGACTCTCTTGGTCATCGCTGCTCTTCTTTGAGTCTTCATCCCGTTCTTCACACTCCCCGGACAAATTTTCTTCTTCAGCATTTTCCTCTGCAATGGGCCACTCCAAGGTGTTCAGCCTCCTCCTTGAATGCCACCTTCTTCTTCCTGACCATAGTCCACTCAAGTGTGTCCTCAGGGATTCTCTCAACCAATGACTGCACGACTTCTTTTCCATCAGGTTTCTTTTCTTTCAAGGAGTCCTCGCTACCATCCGAATCACTCCCTCTCAATATCGTGACCTCTGGTTCCTCTTTACACTTTTCTTTTACCACGGGTTTATCGTCTGCCAGTTTCTCGAGTAATCTCCTCAAGTCTTCATCTATCTCTGCTCTTCCCGTTTCTACTTGTTTGAGATCATAGTCTTTTGCCTTGAGTGTCTCCCTCAAAATTTTTGACTTGAGCATTATCTCCATTGGCATCCCTTGGGTTTTTTTCAAGATTGTTTTCTATGGACGTTCCTTTGGTAATTCGGGGTGATCTTCTATAGGTTTGCCAGACTTGTCGAGCCATCTCGTGAGTGGAAGACTATCATACGTTTCTTTATCCATGAAGGAGAAGCCATCTTTGATTTCTGGCCTATCTGCCTCCCTCTGTTCCTGTGTCTATCAGTAGTGCCCTCAAGGCTCTAGAGGTTGTTTGCGGACTTATTGCACTTAAGTAATCTGCGTAAACATCAATGTGCATTTTCATCTGACCGCTTGGTTCACTCAGGTTTCTCGTTACTTCCTGGCCGCCCACAGTGATTATCGACATTATCCTGGCTCCGATCTTCGTTACGCCTTTCCAGTCACCATTTTTAGAGTGTTGCAATTTCCATTCTGTGTCGCTCCCACTCCTGCTTCTGGCATTGGCACTGACCTATTTAATGTCTCGTTTAACTTCTGCCTTTCGATCTCCTGTTTTAGTCGTTGCTCGATCTCTTTTGTTGCTAGGTCTTGTTTTACTTTGTCGATAGCCTCCGCAGCTGCATTGTTCCACGTGAATTTCTTGTCTTTGTGCCTCATCAGTTGTTGCATCGGGTACACTTTGTCAGCATAGCCTTTAATGAACTCCCTGTAATAATTCGCAAAGCCCAAGAAGCTCATCAGTTGATGCTCCGTTTTTGACAATTTCTAGGTCAGAACCTCTTCTACTGCATCTGGGTCTGGTCTGATGCCATGTCTATCCACCAATCTACCCAGGTATTTAATCGAGTCCTTGAGTATTTCGCACTTTGATGTTTTGCACTTTAGTCCCGATCTCTTCATGCAAGCGAACACCTCGTCCAGTCGCTCGATGTGGTCCTCTAGTGTCGGTGTCGCAATTACCACGTCATCTACGTAGCACATTACCAGGTTGCCGTATTTCTTCGTTACACCTATCAATGCGTGTGCCATCAATCGTTGAAACGTAGCCGCGGCGTTGCAAAGTCCAAAGGGCATCCTCTTCCATTGAAACAGCCCCAGCTCGCAGGCAAACCCTGTTTTATCCCTGTCTTGTTTCCTCGGTGGAAACCTGCCAAAAAGCTGATCCTAAATCAAGAGTCGTAAAAAACTTTGCGTCCCCTTACTTTGAGAGGCTCTCATCAATCCTAGGTATGGGATAGGCATCCTTCACCGTGATGGAGTTCAGATATTGAAAGTCGCAACAAAACCTCAATTGGTCGCCTTTCTTCTTCGCCATCACTACTCCTCACGCCCACGGTGATTTGGATGGTTCTATCATATCATACTCTAGTAAGGTCTCTATCTCTTTTCTACATGAATCCGATTTGTGTGGGGTCATACGCCTCGCCCCCTCCCTATGCGGTACCGCCGACTCTTCAAGCTCTATTTCATGTTCAACAAAATTACAACATCCAATATCTGCCTTATGTTTCGAAAAAACGTCCTCATTCCGCTCTAGTACGTCCTTGATGGCTTCGAGCTGTTCATCCGTTACCTTGCCCCTCAAGTGCTCTATTTCAGGTAAAACCGGTTTATCCATTTCCATTTCCTCTAAGTGAGTCTTTCTGGGATATTCGAACAGCTCGAAAGTCCATCGTCTGTCTCTGACTTAAGTGATTTCACAAGACCTGATGTAACTTTTATTTTCTTTAATCGTCTCAAGATACAAATCTTGTCCCTATGATTGGGACAATCAAGAACTTCATTCTCTTTTACGTTTTCATTCATTTCACATCGAGTTTTCACAGGTAAAGCGTATCCCAGTTTCCTTCCCCTCTGGATTGTGATGGGTATATCAAGAGTATTCAACAAGACACTGACGCAGAGACCGCTCTTGGTTATCGAGAAGGATCTTCCTAAAACAGCAGCGCTTTGACTATTTGGATTTGGGACTATGCAAACTTGCTTGTCGTCACTTAGTTCATTATAATTTTTCATTCGCAAGCTTACATTTGCCGCTTCGTTTGCTTTCAGTCTCACCCTCCTACTCAAGAAAACCGGTGCTTTATTTTCGTTCGCCATTATCAAATTTACCGGTTTAATTACGTACTTCCTTTCCGGATTCCGAATCCTGAAATGGCATTCTTTAGATCAATTATTACGTCGAAATTTCTGATGAAGTCTCTGCCTAAAATGAATTGGTCAGACTCATCTAGGTTTTCCGCCACAAGAAAGCTCATCCACAGGTTGCGTTCCCCCAAGTTTAGGGCTATTATTGGTGTCCTGCCTAGTACCCGTAGTGCCCCTTTCTTTGCAGCAGACAGCCGAATTCTCGAGTCTATCAAATCGTCTCTGTTGAAGCCCATTTGCTCCCATGTTTCGATTGGTATAAAACTCAAGACCGCTCCCGTGTCCAGTAACCCGCGTAACTGAGTCATTTTGCCATTTATGTCAAGCACGTGTGCCGATACGCCCGCTTCTGTACCGATATGCACCGCATCCTCTTCTAACATGGCACAGTGTCCAAACGATCTCACTTTCAGTTCTTCCCTGCCTACGTAGATCTGTCCGTCTAGATCTACGTCGCATGTTATCATAGTCTTCGTGTAGATGTTTATTCCATCTATATTTAACATCAGCTCATGTGGACCATAGGCTTCCGTGTACCTATTCTCGACGCGTACTGACTTGCTACCACCTCTTGTGAGTAGTGCCCTCAAGGCTCTAGAGGTTGTTTGCGGACTTATTGCACTTAAGTAATCTGCGTAAACCTCAATGTGCATTGTCGTCTGACCGCTTGATTCACTCAAGTTTCTCGTTACTTCGTGGCCGCCCACAGTGATTATCGACATTATCCTGGCTCCGATCTTCGTTACGCCTTTCCAGTCACCATTTTTAGAATGTTGCAATTTCCATTCTGTGTCGCTCCCACTCCTGCTTTTGGCATTGGCACTGACCTACTTAATGTCTCGTTTAACTTCTGCCTTTCGATCTCCTGTTTTAGTCGTTGCTCGATCTCTTTTGTTGCTAGGTCTTGTTTTACTTTGTTGATAGCCTCCGCAGCTGCTTTCTCATAGTTTATTTCTAGAGAATTCCTGGTCTCAGCTTCTATGGCCTTCTTGACTTGCGCTACAACCTTCACCGTTTTTGACGGTAGTTCCGCGCTCGGTGCCTCCGAGCTCTTTGTGTCAAACTCGGCTTGCCTGTTCCTCGTGTTCTGTACCGCCGCCAGCGCTAGCTTGTGTTTGGGGTGACTTTGGTTCTTCACTGCTTCCCTGATAACTCCCTGAATGGTTTCCTTGATATTGCAACTTTCTCAAGTTCTTCACCTCCGCGTACCTCCTGCGGATCCAAATTGTACGTTCCTGAGGAGGGATCCGTCTGTAGTTCCCTGTCGCGGTGCCTCATCTTCTCTTCTGCCAATATGATGCATAGACTCTCTTGGTCATCGCTGCTCTTCTTTGAGTCTTCATCCCGTTCTTCACACTCCCCGGACAAATTTTCTTCTTCAGCATTTTCCTCTGCATTGGGCCACTCCAAGGTGTTCAGCCTCCTCCCTGAATGCCACCTTCTTCTTCCTGACCATAGTCCGCTCAAGTGTGTCCTCAGGGATTCTCTCAACCAATGACTGCACGACTTCTTTTCCATCAGGTTTCATTTCTTTCAAGGAGTCCTCGCTACCATCCGCATCACTCCCTCTCAATATCGTGACCTCTGGTTCCTCTTTACACTTTTCTTTTACCACGGGTTTATCGTCTGCCAGTTTCTCGAGTAATCTCCTCAAGTCTTCATCTATCTCTGCTGTTCCCGTTTCTTCTTGTTTGAGATCATAGTCTTTTGCCTTGAGTGTCTCCGTCAAAATTTTTGACTTGAGC